AGTTAGTTAGTAGTTAGTTAGTTAGTTAGTTAGTTAGTTAGTTAGTAGTTAGTTAGTTAGTTAGTTAGTTAGTTAGTTAGTTAGTTAGTTAGTTAGTTAGTTAGTTAGTTAGTTAGTTAGTTAGTTAGTTAGTTAGTTAGTTAGTAGTTAGTTAGTTAGTTAGTTAGTTCGTTAGTTAGTTAGTTAGTTAGTTAGTTAGTTAGTTATCAATTTTTTTTTGCCGTGTACGTATATGAAATAGTTTTTTCTTTTTCAATTCAATTTTTTTGCCGTGTACGTATATGAAATAGTTTTTTTTCTTTTTCCTTGTATGAATGTGTTGGTTTTTGCAATAAAAACTATTGAATAAAATTATGTTTTTCTTTGAATGGATTTTGGTATTTACTCTTTCCTACGAAACTATATATATTTACAAAAAATCATAGCATTAAGTTTATTAAAACATTTTATTTGCAAGTGAACGCTTCTAATTTTATTTGAAATAAAAAAATTAATAATTTTTATAACAAAATGGATATTGATGAAAAACTTATTAGAGAAGTTAAAAAATATGAGCCTTTGTATAATATGCAATCTGAAAATTACGGCAAACTTAGGCTCAAAGATGAAATGTGGAGATTAGTTGCAAGAAGTGTTGGAGTTCCTGGTAAGTATTAAGTTTTTTTTTTTTTTTTTTGAAAAATGTTATTGGTTTTTAAAATTTTCGATTATTTTAACTTGTTTTATATAAAGTTGATTTAGCAAAACTTAGATGGAGAAATTTAAGAGATACCTATAAAAGATATAAAGAAATGAAAACTTGCCATCTGGGAGTCGTCAAACAAATTGTGAACCATATAGATATGCCGAAAGTTTATCATTTTTGGATAATTTTCTAAATACACAAGCGTGAGTAATAATAGTTTATAGTATGTACTATATGTATGTGTGTGTTCGGGAATTCACAAATCAATATATTGGATACGCCTTCTTAGGGCTAGCAATATGTATGTATATAAATCATATTACTAAACAACTGAGAGCCACAGTGGATAACTGATCCTTTATATAAAATGGATTGTAAGTCAGTTCTTCGAAGCCTTGTACGTTATATACCATGCAGCTCCCGTCTCGGTTTCGACATTTTGGATCTGTATAAGATCAATATATGCTGAGATCACTTGCGGCTCCCCATAGTTCAATTCCATATGATCGGTTGGTTAACGTGGTGATAGTTCAATTTGCGCAAACAGTCTAGTAGATTCAAAAGGACTCCGTTTTGACAGTGAAATCCAGAACATACATAATTAATTTTTGTTTATACATAATTAATTATTAATATTATTTTTCAGTTCAAATCAAAGCTGCGAAAGCACACTTTCACCTCCGGAAAGAATGAGCCTAAATGATTCATCTGTTTCATTAACTTCAATAAGCCAGTCATTTCAATGCCTCGCAAACCTTATATATGAATCAGACTTCACACCATCGCAAAAAGAAGATATTCAAAACGCAGTATTTTCAGTGGTAAACGAAAAATTTTATGAAATTTACGAACTAAGAAATATGTATAATTATTAATGAAAGAGAATAATTAATATATTGATAATATTTCAGCATCGATTTTTATAAATAAAGTAATATTAACAAAAAAATGTCTTTGAAAATTTTAGTTTTTAAGTTCAGTTCTAGTTCAGTTCTAGTTCAGTTCTAGTTCAGTTCTAGTTCAGTTTTAGTTCAGTTCTAGTTCAGTTCTAGTTCAGTTCTAGTTCAGTTCTAGTTCTGTTCTAGTTCTGTTCTAGTTCTGTTCTAGTTCAGTTCTAGTTCAGTTCTAGTTCAGTTCTAGTTCAGTTCTAGTTCAGTTCTAGTTCAGTTCTAGTTCAGTTCTAGTTCAGTTCTAGTTCAGTTCTAGTTCAGTTCTAGTTCAGTTCTAGTTCAGTTCTAGTTCAGTTCTAGTTCAGTTCTAGTTCAGTTCTAGTTCAGTTCTAGTTCAGTTCTAGTTCAGTTCTAGTCCAGTTCTAGTTCAGTTCTACTTCAGTTGTAGTTCAATTTTAGTTCAGTTCTAGTTCAGTTCTAGTTCAGTTCTAGTTCAGTTCTAGTTCAGTTCTAGTTCAGTTCTAGTTCAGTTCTAGTTCAGTTCTAGTCCAGTTCTACTTCAGTTCTACTTCAGTTGTAGTTCAATTTTAGTTCAGTTCTAGTTCAGTTCAATTTTAGTTTAGTTCTAGTTCAATTTTAGTTCAGTTCTAGTTCAGTTCTAGTTCATTTCTAGTTCATTTCTAGTTCAGTTCTAGTTCAGTTCTAGTTCAGTTCTAGTTCAGTTCTAGTCCAGTTCTAGTTCAGTTCTAGTTCAGTTCTAGTTCAGTTCTAGTTCAGTTCTAGTTCAGTTCTAGTTCAGTTCTAGTTCAGTTCTAGTTCAGTTCTAGTTCAGTTCTAGTTCAGTTCTAGTTCAGTTCTAGTTCAGTTCTAGTTCAGTTCTAGTTCAGTTCTAGTTCAGTTCTAGTTCAGTTCTAGTTCAGTTCTAGTTCAGTTCTAGTTCAGTTCTAGTTCAGTTCTAGTTCAATTCTAATTCAGTTCTAGTTCAGCTCTAGTTTTTGTAAAGATTATTAAAATTAAACAAAAAGGAACGTATTTTTTTATGAATTTTTATTCAAAATAACTTCAATTTTTTTCCGCTTTTTTTACAATGAATATATAAAAAAAAAAATATGTTTTAAAAACATAATATCGAATGTAATGAAAAAAGTTAAGACATTAAGATATTATAAGAGAATGATTAAAATATACCTTTATATTTTTATATACTAACAACTAAAGCTAATGATTAAACTGAACAGTTAGCAATTAAAAAATACATATTTGGTTAAATATTTGGAATAAAATTATAAAAATTATTAAAGAAACATTAATAAAGTTTAAACTATAACTAATGATAAGTTAAAACTATGTTTTAAAGAACATATTTTGGTGTGTTAGTTATTTTTAATTCGAATTGAATTTAAAATATTTTAATGAACATTTTAAATAATATTAAAACTAAATTAACATGAATATAAAACATAAATAACAAACAAATCACTATGTTAAACAAAAAAAAAAAAAAAAAAACATTGAAGAAATTTGGAAGATTATCATTAAATTATTCTAATAATATCTAACTGGAGATATTACATATCATATTTTATAAATTATATAAAAGAAACGAAAATGTTAAACAAACAATTCATAAAAAAATGACATTGTTCGAGAACTTAATTAACTTTATAATTTTCTTGTTCATTATTTTGATATTTTTTCCTTTCAACACTTTTCCTTCGAGGTAATTTTGGTTTCTTCCTCCTAATTTTTATAACAAAATCATTCGTGTTGCACAGTATAATAAACTGTTTGTGTGCTGTAAATCATAAACAAAAATTATATGGTTTTCAAAAGAGTAAAAAAAATTAACAAATACCTCTGATCACAATAGCCAGTATAAGTTTTTCGAATAAATTTAGTTTGATCATCAATTAAAGGTTTGTTTCTGAAAATACGCAGAGAATACAAAACGTAAATAGGTATGTGGATGCATTGTTTATAGAAGAGTTTCCTTTAGTCACTTAACTATAGAAAAGTGTATTTTTTGACTAGTCTAGTCTATAGTGTAGTCTATAGTCTAGTCTATAGTCTAGTCTATAGTGTAGTCTATAGTCTAGTCTACAGTCTAGTCTAGTAGTCTAGTCTATAGTCTAGTCTATAGTCTAGTCTATAGTCTAGTCTATAGTCTAGTCTATAGTCTAGTCTATAGTCTAGTCTATAGTCTAGTCTATAGTCTAGTCTATGGTCTAGTCTATAGTCTAGTCTATAGTCTAGTCTATAGTCTAGTCTAGTCTAGTCTATAGTCTAGTCTATAGTCTAGTCTATAGTCTAGTCTATAGTCTAGTCTATAGTCTAGTCTATAGTCTAGTCTATAGTCTAGTCTATAGTCTAGTCTATAGTCTAGTCTATAGTCTAGTCTATAGTCTAGTCTATAGTCTAGTCTATAGTCTAGTCTATAGTCTAGTCTATAGTCTAGTCTATAGTCTAGTCTATAGTCTAGTCTATAGTCTAGTCTATAGTCTAGTCTATAGTCTAGTCTATAGTCTAGTCTATAGTCTAGTCTATAGTCTAGTCTATAGTCTAGTCTATAGTCTAGTCTATAGTCTAGTCTATAGTCTAGTCTATAGTCTAGTCTATAGTCTAGTCTATAGTCTAGTCTATAGTCTAGTCTATAGTCTAGTCTATAGTCTAGTCTAAGTCTAGTCCTATAGTCTAGTCCTATAGTCTAGTCTATAGTCTAGTCTATAGTCTAGTCTATAGTCTAGTCTAAGTCTAGTCTATAGTCTAGTCTATAGTCTAGTCTATAGTCTAGTCTATAGTCTAGTCTATAGTCTAGTCCTATAGTCTAGTCTATAGTCTAGTCTATAGTCTAGTCTATAGTCTAGTCATAGTCTAGTCTATAGTCTAGTCTATAGTCTAGTCTATAGTCTAGTCTATAGTCTAGTCCATAGTCTAGTCTATAGTCTAGTCTATAGTCTAGTCTATAGTCTAGTCTATAGTCTAGTCTATAGTCTAGTCTATAGTCTAGCCTATAGTCTAGTCTATAGTCTAGTCTATAGTCTAGTCTATAGTCTATCTAGTTCTAGTTCAGTTCTTAGTTCAGTTCTAGTTCAGTTCTAGTTCAGTTCTAGTTCAGTTCTTCAGTTCTAGTTCAGTTCTAGTTCAGTTCTAGTTCAGTTCTAGTTCAGTTCTAGTTCAGTTCTAGTTCAGTTCTAGTTCAGTTCTAGTTCAGTTCTAGTTCAGTTCTAGTTCAGTTCTAGTTAAGCTCTAGTTCAGTTCTAGTTCAGTTCTAGTTCAGTTCTAGTTCAGTTCTAGTTCAGTTCTAGTTCAGTTCTAGTTCAGTTCTAGTTCAGTTCTAGTTCAGTTCTAGTTCAGTTCTAGTTCAGTTCTAGTTCAGTTCTAGTTCAGTTCTAGTTCAGTTCTAGTTCAGTTCTAGTTCAGTTCTAGTTCAGTTCTAGTTCAGTTCTAGTTAAGCTCTAGTTCAGTTCTAGTTCAGTTCTAGTTCAGTTCTAGTTCAGTTCTAGTTCAGTTCTAGTTCAGTTCTAGTTCAGTTCTAGTTCAGTTCTAGTTCAGTTCTAGTTCAGTTCTAGTTCAGTTCTAGTTCAGTTCTAGTTCAGTTCTAGTTCAGTTCTAGTTCAGTTCTAGTTCAGTTCTAGTTAAGCTCTAGTTCAGTCTATACTCTAGTCTATAGTCTAGTCTATAGTCTAGTCTATACTCTAGTCTTTAGTCTACTCTATAGTCTAGTCTATAGTCTAGTCTATAGTCTAGTCTATAGTCTAGTCTATAGTCTAGTCTATAGTCTAGTCTATAGTCTAGTCTATAGTCTAGTCTATAGTCTAGTCTATAGTCTAGTCTATAGTCTAGTCTAGTCTATAGTCTTGTCTATAGTCTAGTCTATAGTCTAGTCTATAGTCTAGTCTATAGTCTAGTCTATAGTCTAGTCTATAGTCTAGTCTATAGTCTAGTCTATAGTCTAGTCTATAGTCTAGTCTATAGTCTAGTCTATAGTCTAGTCTATAGTCTAGTCTATAGTCTAGTCTATAGTCTAGTCTATAGTCTAGTCTATAGTCTAGTCTATAGTCTAGTCTATAGTCTAGTCTATAGTCTAGTCTATAGTCTAGTCTATAATCTAGTCTATAATCTAGTCTATAGTCTATCTATAGTCTAGTCAATAGTCTGGTCCATAGTCTAGTCTACAGTCTAGTCTATAGTCTAGTCAATAGTCTGGTCCATATTCTAGTCTACAGTATAGTTTATATTCTTGTCTATATTAGAGTCTATAGTCTAGTCAATAGTCTAGACTATAGTTTAATCTAGATACTAATCTGCCGTCTAGTCTATGGTATAATTTATAGTTTATACCGCCAAACTAAGGATTAACTATAGAAAAGTGTATTTTTGACTAGGTCTAGGTCTATAGTTGTAGTCTATAGTCTAGTCTATAGTCTAGTCTATAGTGTAGTCTATAGTCTAGTCTATAGTCTAGTCTATAGTGGTAGTCTATAGTCTAGTCTACAGTCTAGTCTATAGTCTAGTCTATAGTCTAGTCTATAGTCTAGTCTATAGTCTAGTCTATAGTCTAGTCTATAGTCTAGTCTATAGTCTAGTCTATAGTCTAGTCTAGTAGTCTAGTAGTCTATAGTCAGTCTATAGTCTAGTCTATAGTCTAGTCTATAGTCTAGTCTATAGTCTAGTCTATAGTCTAGTCTATAGTCTAGTCTATAGTCTAGTCTATAGTCTAGTATATAGTCTAGTCTATAGTCTAGTCTATAGTCTAGTCTATAGTCTAGTCTATAGTCTAGTCTATAGTCTAGTCTATAGTCTAGTCTATAGTCTAGTCTATAGTCTAGTCTATAGTCTAGTCTATAGTCTAGTCTATAGTCTAGTCTATAGTCTAGTCTATAGTCTAGTCTATAGTCTAGTCTATAGTCTAGTCTATAGTCTAGTCTATAGTCTAGTCTATAGTCTAGTCTATAGTCTAGTCTATAGTCTAGTCTATAGTCTAGTCTATAGTCTAGTCTATAGTCTAGTCTATAGTCTAGTCTATAGTCTAGTTCAGTTCAGTTTTAGTTCAGTTCTAGTTCAGTTCTAGTTAAGCTCTAGTTCAGTTCTAGTTCAGTTCTAGTTCAGTTCTAGTTCAGTTCTAGTTCAGTTCTAGTTCAGTTCTAGTTCAGTTCTAGTTCAGTTCTAGTTCAGTTCTAGTTCAGTTCTAGTTCAGTTCTAGTTCAGTTCTAGTTCAGTTCTAGTTCAGTTCTAGTTCAGTTCTAGTTCAGTTCTAGTTAAGCTCTAGTTCAGTTCTAGTTCAGTTCTAGTTCAGTTCTAGTTCAGTTCTAGTTCAGTTCTAGTTCAGTTCTAGTTCAGTTCTAGTTCAGTTCTAGTTCAGTTCTAGTTCAGTTCTAGTTCAGTTCTAGTTCAGTTCTAGTTCAGTTCTAGTTCAGTTCTAGTTCAGTTCTAGTTCAGTTCTAGTTCAGTTCTAGTTCAGTTCTAGTTCAGTTCTAGTTCAGTTCTAGTTCAGTTCTAGTTCAGTTCTAGTTCAGTTCTAGTTCAGTTCTAGTTCAGTTCTAGTTCAGTTCTAGTTCAGTTCTAGTTCAGTTCTAGTTCAGTTCTAGTTCAGTTCTAGTTCAGTTCTAGTTCAGTTCTAGTTCAGTTCTAGTTCAGTTCTAGTTAAGCTCTAGTTCAGTCTATACTCTAGTCTATAGTCTAGTCTATAGTCTAGTCTATACTCTAGTCTATAGTCTAGTCTATAGTCTAGTCTATAGTCTAGTCTATAGTCTAGTCTATAGTCTAGTCTATAGTCTAGTCTATAGTCTAGTCTATAGTCTAGTCTATAGTCTAGTCTATAGTCTAGTCTATAGTCTAGTCTATAGTCTAGTCTATAGTCTAGTCTATAGTCTAGTCTATAGTCTAGTCTATAGTCTTGTCTATAGTCTAGTCTATAGTCTAGTCTATAGTCTAGTCTATAGTCTAGTCTATAGTCTAGTCTATAGTCTAGTCTATAGTCTAGTCTATAGTCTAGTCTATAGTCTAGTCTATAGTCTAGTCTATAGTCTAGTCTATAGTCTAGTCTACAGTCTAGTCTATAGTCTAGTCTATAGTCTAGTCTATAGTCTAGTCTATAGTCTAGTCTATAATCTAGTCTATAATCTAGTCTATAGTCTAGTCTATAGTCTAGTCAATAGTCTGGTCCATAGTCTAGTCTACAGTCTAGTCTATAGTCTAGTCAATAGTCTGGTCCATATTCTAGTCTACAGTATAGTTTATATTCTTGTCTATATTAGAGTCTATAGTCTAGTCAATAGTCTAGACTATAGTTTAATCTAGATACTAATCTGCCGTCTAGTCTATGGTATAATTTATAGTTTGTTTTCACTAACTTAATATCACCATAAAAACTTATTCTCTCTCCTTTGGGCATATACATTTGTAAACTCGCTATTTCAACATAAGCAGGAACAGTCTAGGCAATGAAAAGAACAAAAATTAAATTATAAATAAAAAGAAATTATACTTCATCTTTAAGAAACTTACCTTTTCAGGAATTTCATTAACTTCTTCAAATTTGGTATCATATTGCAAAAATTTACTTAAATTACTTGTTTTAACCAATTGCAAAATATTGTTATCGGTTAATTGTAAAAATTCTTGCATATGACGAGCACCAAGTTCCGTTACCAATTTATTCTTAATTTTTGGTTTAACTTCTTGTACCGCCAAACTAAGGATATGATCACATAATATATATTCGGGTAGACTATAACAATTAACATGAAAATCATAACGAGCTGCAAACAAATTATATATTTTATCATAATCCTCATAACGATATTCGATTTGTGTGCCACAATCGGAAACTCTAGCCTTTAGGAAGACATCATCAAAATCCATATTGGGTTGACTTAGATGCTTTAAATAATAGGAATCACGTTTTAGGTAATCCCATTTATCAACATCTAGTTTTGAACGTTTATTACTGACAATCTGTGCAGAGAAAAAGTTTATTAAAGAAAACGTGTACTTTAATACGAAGGTATATGTAAGTACTAACCTCAAATATAAAACGAAATTGCTGGGGTAGTTGTGCTGCCAACTTAAATTTATCAATACGGCCATCTATTAGGGCCTTAATTAGTTCTATACCAAAATTGTTGTTGCTACGCAATTCTGGAAATAGGTCTTGATTTATCTGCTCAAATATATGATCGATACAGGGAAATGCTTCGGTTTCATGTACATAATCTTTTACTACATGCTCCCAGGCATGAGAAAATGGCCCATGGGCAATATCATGTAAAAGAGCAGCTATCTATTAAGAGACGGCGGTAAAGGTAAAGGGGTTATATTTGAAAATCAGATTTTAAAATATCTAAAGCATTAGCTTACCTCTACTGCCTTGCGGTATACTAACGGTATTTTATTGTTGTTGTCTCCTAGCCATTGGGTATTCTTCTCCAGGGCATCTAACATTCGACTGGCAGCGTGATAAGTTCTATTTAAAGAAATTGGAATAAATATTAGAAAATAGTTTTTTGAACAGAAAACAGCCTTCTTTAAGTAGTTTGGTATAGAAAGCAGACTCTATACTATAGTTTTTTGTCTAGTTTATATTCTAGTCTATAGTTTAGTCTATAGTCTAGTCTATTGTATAGTCTATAGTTTAGTCTATAGTCTAGTCTATTGTATAGTCTAAAGTCTAGTCCAGCGGTTCCCACCGTTTTTTACTTCGCGGACCCCTTGAGGAATTTATTTAATTTCACGGACCCCCATACATATTTTGATATCTTATTGTTATAAATAACACTGTGATACAAAAGTGAAGAAAAATAAAATGCAGGCGTTCTCATATACCAAATCTATTTCGTTATAGTCCATAGAGTACGAATATATTTTTAGTTTTCCCCTATCACTTCGTTAACTTACTTTTTAAGAGCAAAAGATGCGAAAAAGAGCCATTTTTGAAGTTTTAAATTTGAAAAATCATAAGTTTAGTAGTTTTCATCCGATTTTCAAATCCGATATTTTTTTTTAATGATACAAGTGTCTTTTAATCCAAAAAAAAAATGTCTGAGTTACGGTCGTTTAAGTAAAAAAAACTCACACTTTTTTAAAAAAATTTCATTTTCATCATGCTCTACTTTGACCATGAGGCAGTGAGTTCATCTTTTATTACTTTCCAGAAGAATCACATAAAGGAAGGTTTCTAAAACTTGTTATTTCATAAAAATCTATGAAAAACTGGATGATTTATGCCAATTTTTCTAATAGCATGTTTCTCGAATTTTTGGTTTTCTCCATACAAATTAATTTTTGTATAAAAATGTTTATAAACATTTTTTAAACTTGTTACAAAGAAAACCAGAAACATGAACGTTTTTGTATGGAAGAAATATGCTATATTTTTATAAAACTTAGCACAACTCATAACCTTTTTCATCGATTATCATAAATTGACCATCATTGGAAACCCAACTTAATGTGCCTTTTTTTAAATGTAATAAAAGCTAAAGTTACTGCTTCATGGCCAACGTACACAGAAAAAAATGGAATTCAAAATCAAACAAAAAATTCATAAAGCCAAGTATTTTTTTTACTAAAATAGGACCTATCACGAAATTCGTAAAATCAAGTACTCAAATTCGTAAATTCTTTATTGAAAAAATTTCAGGATTTTTCTTATTAAAATAATATACTATTTACGAAAAACATTAATAAATAATCGCAACATTTCCAAACAATTATTTTACTGAAACAATAACACAAGTTATTAGTATTTGTACTGAAATTCAAGCAAATATGTTATCTGAAACATTTAAATTATTTATTGTATTTTGGCAATAATAATAAGAAAATTTTTCATTGAATCTATAAAAATTTTGTTAAAAAATATATACTAATTTTTAACAAAAATTTTACAAAAAATATTTAAAACTAAAAGTAGTAAAAAAATTACATATATATTTACAACATTTTTAAGAAAACGTTTCTAATTCTAGAAACTATTATTTTGTACTGTGAAAACTGAAACACTTATACATTAAATGTTATAAACCAAATAAGAATTATATCAATTCGTTTTAGTACATTCCAAAACTGGTTTTATTGTTGTATTCCATATGCTGACATAAAAATAAAACTCAAACAAAAACATTTATTGAATCAGTAAAAATATTTACTGAAAGTTAAATTTATTTCAATAAAGTGTTTGTTAGAAAATATTTTCCTTCTGTGTGAACATCAAACAAATTCGTTATAAACCCAAATAAAAATATTAATAAAAATAGAAATTAAATTTAAGCAACCGATTGTTAAGAAAAAAATTGTGCATTTTTTTTTCTGTGTAGAGCAGTATGAAAATTAAAAATTGTGAAAAAAGTGTGAGTTTTTTTACTTAAATGGCCGTAACCAAGACATTAATCATAAATTTTGGATTTATTTTTTTGGGTTGAAAGACAACACTCGTATCTTTAAATATCCAATTTGAAAATCGGTTGCAAACTACCAAACATATATTTTTTTTTTAAGTTAAAACTTCAAAAATAGCTCTTTTTCACAACTTTTGCTCTTAAAAAGGAACTAAACGAAGTGATCGGGAAAAATTAAAAATAAATTCCTACTCTATGGACTATAACGAAATGGAATTGGTATATGAGAACCCCTGCATTTTTTTGCTGTATCACTGTGTAATTGTTCGTCCGAAAATTGTCTAAGTCCTGGTCCATAAACCCTATAAAATATTCCCGTACATTGAGAACATTTAGTATTTCGGAGATGTTTTCAATTTCATGGTTTTAAATATAGAATGACTTCTACCATGATGTTTAATTTTATGATCGTGAGAGCTTTCATGTTCATTTTCGTCAAGGTAGAGAAAATGTTTCTTAAACAAGTATTGTCGACATGTGCTTAAAGAGTCATGTTTCTAAATTTTTTTGCGATTGCATAGGAGTAAGCTGAGTATGTAAGCTAAGTTTTCGGGAAAATATGTGAAAGTTAGACTTCTTCGATGTTGTTGCGGAATGCGTTACCCACATAAAATATGACCTGGACTCTTTGCGAATGTACTGTGAATTTGGATCTTAAATTTGAATTTTAAAATACCTACGAATTATTTTACTGCGTGGTTTTGACTATTTACGCAAAACGCTATGAATTTTCTGATTTTGATTTAATAATATTGGACAACAAAATGAAGTTAAAATCTGTGTATCACGTTGGAATGGAATATTTATATTTAAAATTAACTAGATTAACACTTTTGCTTACAATTTAAAAAAATATTATGAAATGTGACCTAACTTCATATTCCGGGATACCAGTATCAGTATTTAATTCTAAGGCAAATCATTATCCGTCTGCTACACAGAAAAAAATATGCACATTTTTTTTCTTAACAATCGTTTGCTTAAATTTAATTTCGATTTTTACAAAAATTTTTATTTGGTTTTATAACGAATTTGTTTGATTTTCACGCAGAAGGAAAATATTTTCTAACAAACACTTTATTGAAATAAATTTAATTTTCAGTAAATATTTTTACTGGTTCAATAAATGTTTTTGTTTGAGTTTTATTTATATGTCAGCATATGGAATACAACAATAAAACTAGTTTTGGAATGTACTAAAATGAATTGATATAATTCTTACTTGGTTTATAACATTTAATGTATAAGTGTTTCAGTTTTCACAGTACAAATAATAGTTTCTAGAATGTGAAATAAATTTGTTGTAAGTATATAAGTACTTTTTTCAACAAATTTTAATTTTATAGAATAAGTAAAATATTTGTTAAAATTCAATATATATTTTTTAACAAAATTTTTATAGATTCAAAAAGGAATTTTGTGTATTATTATTGCCAAAATACAATAAATAATTTATCTGTTTCAGATAAAATAATTGCTTGAATTTCAGTACAAATACAAATAATTTGCGTTATTGTTTAAGTAAAATAATTGTTTGGAAATGTTGCGAATATTTATTAATGTTTTCGTAAATAGTATATTATTTTAATAAGAAAAATCCTGAAATTTTTTCAATAAAGAATTTACGAATTTGAGTACTTGATTTTACGAATTTCGTGATAGGTCCTATTTTAGTTAAAAAAATACTTGGCTTTATGAATTTTTTGTTTGATTTTGAATTTCATTTTTTTCTGTGTATAAAAACATTTACTTCGATAGCATATATATTTATAAAAATTACAAATCACGTAATACTTTACTTATAAAAGTGAACAATAAATTTGTAGCCTAGCTTATCCCTGATAACGACCCAAAAACAATAACATTCAAAGAGTCACCAACAAATCTGGGATTATTGAATAAAATTGTGTATTTTAGTATTTATGAAAATTTGGAGATATTTTAATAGTTTGTAACATATAGAGAGATATTTTTATTCATGATTTTTTCGTTCGTCTCGCGGACCCCCTAGGATTTTGCTACGGACCACTAGGGGTCCGCGGACCCCCTTTGGGAACCGTGGTCTAGTATATAGTCTAGTCTATAGTCTAGTCTATAGTCTAGTCTATGGTCTAGTCTTAGTCTAGTCTATAGTCTAGTCTATAGTATCTATAGTCTAGTCTATAGTCCTAGTCTATAGTCTAGTCTATAGTCTAGTCTATAGTCTATTCTATAGTCTAGTCTATAGTCTAGTCTAGTCTAGTCTATAGTCTAGTCTAATAGTCTAGTCTATAGTCTAGTCTATATCTAGTCTATAGTCTAGTCTATAGTCTAGTCTATAGTCTAGTCGATAGTCTAGTCTATAGTCTAGTCTATAGTCTAGTCTATGGTCTAGTCTATAGTCTAGTCTATAGTCTAGTCTATAGTCTAGTCTATAGTCTAGTCTATGTCTAGTCTATAGTCTAGTCTATAGTCTAGTCTATAGTCAGTCTATAGTCTAGTCTATAGTCTAGTCATATATTAGTCTATAGTCTAGTCTATAGTCTAGTCTATAGTCTAGTCTATAGTCTAGTCTATAG